AATAAATTACAGAGACAAAAGAACATATGGATATATACGTATTGAATAAAATATTCAACGTGCGATTTTATGCCCAAACGACAAACTCAGAGTATACCGATTTCCCCTCCCCCAAGGAGAGCTGGTTGTCACTGAAATGTCAATGCGGGTGGGCAGACAGGCAGACGCAGGCACTGTCTGTCCGTTCACAGTTTGAGTTCCTAGTCGATTCACGATCCATTGGACTGACTCACTTTTTGGCGCATCATCACCATCACGAACGCCTTTCTGCAAAACACAAAAAATTCTGGACAATCCAAATCTACTTTGAGTACTTGACAATGGCGAACGAAGAGAGTGCATTGCTACCTTCTGCAAGAGATGCATTCGTAGATGCAAACGCTGAAGCTTCAAGGTGAGCGATCTGGAATGTCATCCTGAGTCAGTCAGCTTGGATCCAAGAAATTTGAATCAATCGTGCACCGATAGTCTAACCTCTGAACTAATCCATTGGCTGGTTTACCATTTAGAGCATTCCATGACGGAAAACGCACTTCATCGCAAAACAAAGAAGAAACCTGGCACCAAACTGAAGGTGGATTCTTGAAACCAATAATTTTCGGTGGATTGGATGGAATTTTGACATCTTTTGCTATTGTAGCTGGTGCCGCTGGTGGAGGTCTATCTCCCGAGGTCGTTATGGTTTTGGGATTCAGTAATATTTTTGCAGATGCACTGAGGTTAGTGACTGCGTTCGAGGTTTTCCTGATGATAGTGCTGCTAGGGAATTTGACCTTAAAAGACTGTTCTGATTTCATGTTTCGTCTTGGATACTTTTTCTCGGCAGTATGGGCGTCGGTGAGTTTCTCTCTTCCAAAGCAACCAACGAATGGATCTTAAGTGAACGAAAACGGGAAGAATGGGAAATGGAGAACTACCCAGAGGGTGAAATCCAAGAAATGATTGATATTTACAAAGAGAAAGGAATGGAGCATGAAGATGCCAAACTAGTCATCGAGACGATGGCAAAATACAAAGACTTTTTTGTCGATCTAATGATGGCCCAAGAGCTGGAACTACAGGTATGTAGAAGAGCGCCAGTAGATGGTTGATGGAAGTCATTGTTCTGTCCTATTCAAGGTCACTCACTTCTCCTTCGTCAAGGTTCCTGACGAGGATCACGTCGAAGAAAGTATGCGAGAAGGTGTTGTCATGTTCCTATCCTTCGCATCATTCGGTGCCATGCCATTGCTGGGCTATGTGATTATTCCGGCATCCTTCCCGCAGCTAGGAAACGACACTCTTTTCGCTGCTGCTTGTATCGTCACCGGACTTGTCCTTTTCTTTTTGGGAAGTGTCAAGTCAAAATTTGCGTAAGTGGGAAGCGGCCAGCAGCTATACATTTTTTTCATACTGTTGATTGATTTAAAAATTGTTGTGTTTTTGTTCTGTAGCAATATGAATTGGTTCACGAGTGGACTGGAGACCCTGTTGCTTGGAGGTTGTTGCGCCACAGTGGCATTCACCATTGGGCACTACATCAACGGACTTGTCGGTGATGCAGATGTAGACTTGTAATGTACAGTATAACTCTACCTATAGAAAGAAAAATTGGCTTGTGCAGTGTCCAAGTGTTACCAGTACCAGCCAGGTACCAGTACCTGGTACCCAATGGTCCAGGTTGACAACATCACCATTCAACTCTTGACTTGACGGACTGCCAACAACTCCATATGGAGGTTCTGACGTCATTCCCAAAGTCGAAAGCATTCTGACGAGAACTTCACACAGCACTTGCCGTACTAAAATGCTACATACGAGATTTTGCGTACAAATCTCAGTAGATTCGGTGACGAAAGCTCATTTTTATTGTGAGAATACAGGCATTGTCGGAAGATTGTTTCCGTAATTTCCGACCATTAGAATTACGGTCACATCATACTTTTTGAATCTTCAAACAAAAGCAGCAGACAATATGACAGTTCAAGCCCCAGGAGCCGTTCTTCTTGCCCCCTCTCCTACTGACTTCGCCAAGTATGACACCATGTACTACATCAAGGGTGCCGCTGCTGGTGGAATTTGTTGCTCCATCACCCACGGTGCCTTGACCCCCGTGGATGTCGTCAAGACCCGTGTCCAACTTGACCCCGTGAAGGTATGTTCAGTCTTAAGATGGAACTCTACTTCCTGCAATGTGACTACGCCATGGTCATCATTTCGTAGTGATATGGAACTGTAAAATTGAAATTGACAGATTCTCATGGTCGTCGCTTTTATTTTCTTCTCCTTTTCCATTTGTACTCTTGTCGCATTTAATTAATTCTCTTGTGAACTTTACAGTACAATTCTGGCTTGATCGGAGGATTCCGCACCATCATTGCCGAGGAAGGAGCCATGGCTTTGACCACCGGTCTTGGAGCCACCGCTGCCGGATACTTCATCCAAGGATGGTTCAAGTTCGGAGGAGTTGAGTACTTCAAGATCAAGGCCGTCAAATCGTTGGGTGAGGAAGCAGCCTGGGAAAAGAAGAACCAAATCTATATTGGTGCCGCCGCCGGAGCCGAATTCATTGCTGATCTTTTCCTATGTCCTCTTGAGGCTGTCCGTATCCGTTCTGTCTCTGACCCTGAATTCTGTGATGGTCTAGCTGACGGTTTCGCCAAGATGGCCAAGGCTGAGGGTATTGGCGGTTTCTACGCTGGACTTGGACCCATTCTTGCCAAGCAAATTCCATACACTTGCGCCAAATTCCTTGTCCAAGGAACTGCCGCCGATTCCATCTACGTTTCGATGGGAAAGACTCCCGCTGAAGTCTCAAGTTCTACAAACCTTGGTATCTCTCTCCTCTCTGGTGTGATTGCTGGTGTTGCCTCCGCCATCATCTCCCACCCTGCTGATACCCTTCTCTCTAAGGTGAACAAGAAGGGAGCCGGTGGTGAAGGATCGATGGCGTCCCGTCTCATCAACATTGCCAAGGAGATTGGTTTCGTCAAACTCTGCACTGTCGGACTTGTCCCTCGTTGTGTGATGATCGGTACATTGACTGCCGGACAATTCGGTATCTTCGATACCGTGATGGGAGCACTCGGTGCATCCAAGTTCCACTTCCACAACCCCAACGCCTAAATAAATTACTTGTGTACTATTATAACCGGAGTCTATAGAAGATGTGGCCGTGTCATCGGAATGGTACTTTTTTGTCTCAGAATTATCACT